GGGGGAAGTGTTGGTGGAGGGGGGGGGGACTGGGGGGAGTCGCCTCTCGCCGTTACTTTCCTGCCTGCAAACAATGCATTTTTCAGCGCCTGCTGCAGCTTTAGGTGTGTTTGACAAGACAAGTCGCTGCAAGGCACGTCAAGTTCGCAGCTCCCCGTGCCAAGTTTTCCAAGCAGATAAAAAGAGGAGGCTCCCAAGCTCTCCCATCACTGGGGTTTCTGCCTCCTCTGCCTTCTGCTCCTTCCTTGCTGCTCAGCTTTCACCCACCAGCCTTTTTTTTTAGTCTTTTTTTTTGTGGGTTCTTCCTTTTCTCCTGCTCTTCGCGTTCCCAACCACCATGAGTCGGGTCTCTTTCAGGTCATCTACTGGGGGAGGAATGAGAGGGTTTAGCTCAGGCTCAGCGATCGTAGGAGGTGGAAGCGGCACCAGGAGCAGTTTTAGCTCTGTCTCCGTCTCCAGGGTCGGAGGAGGAAGAGCTGGAGGTGGAGGAGGTTTTGGAGCTGGTGGTGGCTTCGGCAGCAGAAGTCTCTATAACCTGGGTGGAAGCAAAAGGATCTCCTACAGCTCGGTTGGAGGAGGTCTCCGCAGCGCAGCTGGGGGTGGCTACGGCTTCGGTGGAGGAGCTGGTTATGGTCTTGGCTATGGTGGTGGAGCAGGTGCTGGTTTTGGCTTAGGAGGAGCTGGTGGTGGTGGAGGTTATGGGCTGGGAAGTGGCTTTGGGCTGGGAGGTCCTGGGTTTGGTGGCCGAGGTGGCCCTGGGTTCCCAGTTTGCCCCCCTGGGGGTATCCATGAAGTGACCATCAACCAGAGCCTCCTGGCACCTCTCAAACTGGATATTGACCCCGAGATCCAGAAGGTGCGGACGCAGGAGAGGGAGCAGATCAAGACCCTCAACAACAAATTCGCCTCCTTCATCGACAAGGTGAGAGTTTGGTCCTAACCATCCAGACAAGCACAGGGAAAAAAAAACAAACTGGGGAAGAAGCTTCCTTAGCAGTTGCCTGGGGGAAACCAAAAATTTGGGAAGAATTTTCTTTTGGATGTTGGGACTTGCCTGAACTGATCCCAACAGACAAACAACTTGGGATGGGCTGGAAACCAAGAGCTGCTTTGTGTTTCCTCTTTGCAAGGAAGAGCTTTGCAGTGCCTTAATTTTCCTGCCTAATTCCCTCTCCTCCGTGTCACACCATCCCAAGGGCTGGATGGATCCTCCACGGGTTGTAAAGCTGTTCCACCGTGGGATAAGACCAGGATAAACCAGTTAGGTGGGCTGAGAATGCAGTGGGGGGAGAGACATGAAAGCTCCAAAGGAAAGTGTTTGGCTTGATGAAAACCCTTGGGGAAAAAACGTTGCTAAACATCTCCAGATGTTTTGGATCCTTTGGAGAATCCTTAAATTAGAGTGGGCTTGATTTCCCTCCCTGATTGTCCCAGTGGTCCTTGACCTTCCCTGTGCTGATGATCTCACCTTTTCCCCTCGCTTGGAGCTGGTTTGTGCCTCAGGTTGGAGCATGTCCTTGTCTTTGTTCCACCCCAGGTGCGATTTTTGGAGCAGCAGAACAAAGTGTTGGAGACCAAGTGGAGCCTCCTCCAAGAGCAAGGCCACACAGTGACCAGGAAGTCCCTTGAACCCTTGTTTGAAGCTTATATCAACAACCTCCGGAGGCAGCTGGACAACCTGATGGGAGAGAGGGGTCGCCTGGACTCAGAGCTGAGGAACATGCAGGACATGGTGGAGGACTTCAAGAACAAGTAACTCTTCTCCCAGGCAACCAGCAGGAGGACAGGGGGGCACAGACTCAAGCTCTGCCAGGGTTGGGTTGGGTTGGAGATGAGGAGAATTTTCTTCCCCCAGAGGTTTTTGGGCACTGGGACAGGTTCAGGTTGGAGATCAGGAGAAGGTTCTTCCCCCAGAGGTGTTTGGGCACTGGGACAGGTTTGAGTTGGACATCAGGAGAAGGTTTTTCCCCCAGAGGTGTTTGGGCACTGGGACAGGGTTGGGTTGGACATCAGGAGAAGGTTTGAAGAGATTTTTTTTTTATGGAGAGAGTGCTCAGGCATTGGAATGAGCTGCCCAGGGCGGTGGTGGATTCTGTTCTGTTTGCTCCAGGGCTGGAAAGAGGTGGGAGGATGGAATCTATCCACCAGCCACAGCTGGTAACTAGGGAATGAGGTGCTCCCAACTCTGCCTCCCACCTCTTCTTCCAGCTCTTCTTTTCCACCAAAACCCTCTCCCTCTTCCATCTTGACAGATATGAAGATGAGATCAACCGACGAACTGGTGCAGAGAATGAGTTCGTGGTCCTCAAGAAGGTGAGTTGGGACTTGAGGTCCTCCAAAGGGGATCAACTCTCCATGCAGAGCTCCAGCAAAGCTGATGGGAATTGAGGTTCTCCAGCTGGAGACCCTTTGGCTTCTGGTTCCATCAGAAATCTTTGGGTCTTGTCTCCTTTAGGACGTGGATGGAGCTTACATGAACAAGGTGGAGCTGCAGGGCAAGGCAGATGCTCTGGCAGAAGAAATCAACTTCCTGAGAGCTCTCTATGAAGCAGTAAGTAGTGAGAACATCCTCCACAGCTCCTCACCCATGGCCCAGAGCTCTGGGTGATGGCCAGCAGGAAAGGAGAAGGTGGTCACAGCCAGTTTGGAATGATCATTCCAAAGGGAGAAGGTGGCAAAATAAGGTTGAAAGGCCAAAATGGAGAAGGAGAACTGGAAGAGAACATCTCAGTGGGGAGATCTCCAGGTCACCTCATCTTTGTGGTTGCCACAAGTTAATAACTTTAGGCTTTCGCACCTTCTGCAGGAGTTGTCCCAGATGCAGCAACAAGTCTCTGACACCTCTGTGGTCCTGTCCATGGACAACAACCGAAACTTGGACCTCAACAGCATCATCCAGGAGGTCAAGGCGCAGTACGAGGACATCGCCAACCGCAGCCGAGCCGAGGCCGAGGCCTGGTACCAGAACAAGGTGGGTGGGCACCAGGTGTGGCATGGATTGCTGAGGGACATGGGACCTCACACCTCTTCTGGGGGGCAGGGACAAGGTCTCGGGTTGATCTGGCCTGAAACACTTTTCCTTCCAGGACGTGGTAGGTGATCACCCACAGGTGATCTGAGAAACCAGCAAAGGTCTTCTAGGGGTTGATTGCTATCCAAGGGTAGATGTTGTCACTCCATGGGAAGGTTCCCCAGAGGAATGTTGTTCCTCACCCCTTCACCTTCATCCAGACCTGCCCTTGGTGCCTTGAAGTATCCTCAACCTACCATGGGCAGGTTCCATGGAGGAATGTTGTCCCTCATCCCTTCACCTTCATCCAGACCTGCACCTGAAGTCTCCCCACCCTTCCCTGAGCCCCACAGTGTCTGACCAGAGCTCTTCTTCTTCCCTCCTACAGTATGAGGAGCTGCAGGTGTCTGCTGGGCGCCATGGGGATGACCTGAGGAACACCAAGATGGAAATCTCAGAGATCAACAGGATAGTCCAGAGGCTGAGGAATGAGATCGACAGCGTGAAGAAACAGGTAGGAGGGGATGGTCATCCAGGTCCCACCAGGAGCCCTCAGAGCCACCTGCAGAGCAGGAGGGAGAGGATGGTCATCCAGGCCCCACCAGGAGTACTCAGAGCCATCTACAGGAGGGAGGGGATGGTCATCCAGGTCCCACCAGGAGTACTCAGAGCCATCTACAGAGCAGGAGGGAGAGGATGGTCATGTCATCCCCACCAGGAGCCCTCAGAGCCACCCTGGGATCTGCTGTGCAGTGTCTCCACCACCACAGCAATACTCAGGAGAGCAGTTTTGGGTAGTCCAAGTCAACAACTACCTGTTGTCCTCCCCCTCAGTGTGCCAACCTCCAAGCAGCCATCGCTGAGGCTGAGGAACGCGGCGAGATGGCCCTCAAGGACGCCAAGGCCAAGCTGACCGAGCTGGAAGATGCTCTGCAGAAGGCCAAGGCTGACCTGGCCCGGCAGCTCCGAGAGGACCAGGAACTGATGAACGTCAAACTGGCCCTGGACATCGAGATTGCCACCTACAGGAAACTGCTGGAGGGAGAGGAGAGCAGGTGAGGACACCTGGCCCTGTTGTGTGCTGCTCTTCTGAGCAGGGAGAACCTCCTTGGGCTCAGAGCAGTCTCACCAAAGGGTTGGAGCCCCAAGGCAGAGACAGATTTTGTGAATCATGAGCTTGGTAGGAGAAGCTGATGCCACAGCAGAGTGGCAGCTCATGGTTGGATGTGAAGATCTTAGAGGTCTTCTCCAATCTTGATGCTTCTATGGCAAGAGTCATTTCTGCAGCTCTTGGCACTTGATGCACTAGTCAAACCAACATTGGCACCTTCCACCTGTGCCACAGACATGTCCCACCCCAGGGCACTCCCTACTGAAGGCCACGGAAGACTCATGTGATGTTTCCACGGCGAATCCGTTGGGATTCATTGCTCTCTTTCCTCTTTCCCCACAGACTTGCTGGAGAAGGAGTCGGAGCTGTCAGTGTCTGTGAGTATCTCCTCCTCTCCCACCTCTTCTCCATCACCCTCAGGGTGACACTGCAGTTTGGAGGGTCTTCTCCTGCAGTTTAAGGAGGTCTCCCATCCTGAAGTTTGGGAGAGTCTTCTCCCATCCCAAAGTTTGGGAAGGTCTCCTCCTTCAGTTTAGGTAGATCTTCTCCCACCCTGCGGTTTGGTAGGGATCTTCTCCCTCATCCTCAGTGGTGACACTGCAGTTTGGGAGGGTCTTCTTCTGCAGTTTTGGGGGGGATCTCCTCCCTGCCAGGGGAGGACCCTGAGGGAGATGTCCCTGTATGTCCTTGCAGCCGTGGTCAGCAGCTCCAGCGGGATGGGCTACGGCGGCGGCAGCAGCTTGGGCATGGGTGGAGGACTCGGCATGGGAGGTGGAGGCTACAGCCTGAGCAGTGGAGGAGGCTTCGGAGGCAGTGGAGGAGGTTTTGGAGGCAGTGGAGGAGGTTTTGGAGGCAGTGGAGGTTTCGGTGGAGGCCTCAGCTATGGTGGAGGAAGCAGCTTCAGCTCCGGGAGCAGCCGCGGAATGAGCTCCAGCACGGGCGGCAGCGTGAGGATCGTCTCCAAGACAACCACCAGCAAAAAGACCCTGAGATAAGGATGGGGAGAGCTGTGTGTGGCTGATTCCTGCCTTCCCACCTGGATTCCCACCTGGGTTCCTGCCTCGCTGCTCTGCCAATCAGTGGTGTAAATAGCTCTGCTTGACACTCTCCTTCCTCCGTCCTTCTCTGGGGCAGCGTGGGGAGACCAGGACCTCCCACCCTGAGCATCTGGAGCACCTTCGGCTGAAGCACAGGTTGTAACGGGTCACTGGTGGCTTTGGAGAGCTCTGGGGACCCTGTGGTGATCATCCCTCAGCACAGTCCTTGTCCTCCTCCTGGAGGAACAGGTCACTGACAGAGTTTGAAGAGCTCTCTGGACCTTGTGGTGATCCTCTTGGAGTCACAGATCACTAGAGGGTTTGGAGACCTCTGTGGTCCCCATGGTGACCCTTTTCCAGCACAGTCCTTGTTCTGAGTGACCCCTGAGAAGTGAAGTAGAACCACTTTGCTGAACGGAGATGATCATTTGCTTCACCCTAAACCAAGAGTGACCTCCTTGAGGAGCACCAACCCTGGGTCCAGCAGCAGTGAAACCTCCAAGAAGCTCTGAAATGCTCTCCCTGCATCACATGTTACAACCTCCAAAGGTCTGATCTGCACCTCAAGGTCTTCTCCAGCCCCTTCTGTTTCCTCAGGCACTGTGGGAAAGGTTTTTGCTTTGTGTGTAGATGATTTCTAACTCCTTATCCTCGTGGCTTCAACCCCCTCACCCCCAGGCCAAACACCTGGAATGGTCCAATAAAGAGCATTTGTCATTTTTAAAACCTCTTGGATTTTGGCTTTTCTTCTCTGCTGCTTCTGGGGGTTGATGTGGGTCATGTCCAGGGAGAAAGAGGAAGAGTCATCTCATTGCCTGGAGAGGAGAAGGTTGTGTGGAGACCTCCAAGGAGCTGCAGGAGCGCCAGGGAAGCGGCAGAGGGACTTGGGGAGGAGCTGCAGGGACAGGACGAGGAGGAATGGGGAGAAATGGAGAGAGGGAAAGTTAGAGGAGATCTTAGGGAGAAGTTTTTCCCTGGGAGGGTGGTGAGACACTGGCACAGGTTGGCCCAGGGAGGTTGTGGTTGCCCCAAGGTGGTTGTGGTTGCCCCAAGGAGGCTGTGGATGCCCCAAGGAGGTTGAGGATGCCCCAAGGAGGTTGAGGATGTCCCAGAGAAGCTGTAGATGCCCCAGGGACACCTCCCACCAGAGCAGGTTGCTCAAGGCTTTATCCAATGTGGCTTCGAACACTTTGGACAACCTATGCCAGTGTCTCCAGGCTCAACAGCCCCAGCTCCCTCAGCCTGTCCTCAGAGGGAAGATGCTCCAATCCTCTTACCAACTCCTCTGGCCTCCTCTGGCCTTGCTCCAGCAGTTCCATGTCCTTCTCACGCTGAGGACACCAGAGCTGTGTGCAGCATTCCAGGTGGGGGTAGAGGAGGAGAATCACCTCCCTTGACCTGCTGCCCACACTCCTGTAGATCACAGTCTGGGCCTGGGTTGGTTTCTGGGCTGAGCTCACACTGAGCTCTGAGTGAACTTCTCATCCACCATCACTCCCAGGTCTCTCTCCTCATTGCTGCTCTCAGTCCCTCCCCACCCAACCTGGAGGTAAATTCCACCTCCCCGGGGAGGTTTCCATGACCTCCTGGATGGAGATTTCAGCCAAACTCCTGCACTGATCCCAAGCTCCCTCCTGTGGCTCCATGAGCATTCCCTGCCAGGACAGGCTGTGAATCCTGGACAGCCCCAAGGGCAGGATGACCCCAGAGCAAGGAATGAGGCCAGGACGGGAGGGAGAGGATGAGGAAGGACCCACAGCCCACTGAGGGTGCTGATCCCAACAGGATCCCACCAATCCACACCTCATCCCCTCCGAACTCCAACTGGGGGTGCAGCCCAGCAGAGAGAGGAGAGAGGGAGGTATCGACCACGGCAGAAGCTCCTCATGGGGGATGTGGTGGAGCAGCCACCCCAGGGAACCACCTTGGAGCTCCTGAGTCAGTGGGACACACACAGCACCTGGTGTGGAGCTGCTTGAGCAGCAGCAAACCCAACCAGGTGTCTCCAGCAGGTGGGGACCCAGAGCAGAGGATCTGAGGAGCATGGAATGTTGGAGTCATGGAATCTTATGGGGGTTGGGATGGAGATTGGAGATCATCTAGTCCCAACATCCTGCCCTGGACAGGGACATCTCCCACCAGGGGAGGATGGTCAAGGCTTGGGACAACCTGGAATGGACAGTGACAGGGTTGGGGCATCAACAACCTCCTTGGGGCATCCACTGCCTCTTTGGAGCTACCACAACCTCCTTGGGGCATCCACATTCTCCTTAGGACATCCACAGCCTCCTTGGGTTATCCATAACCTCTCCCTGGGGAATCCACAAATTTCTTAGGGCATCCACAACCTCCTTGGACAACCTGTGCCAGTGTCCCACCATCCTCACAGGGGAAAAACCACCTAGGTTGAACTGGTTAATCTCAGAGGTCTTTTCCAAGCTGTGCTAATCCTTGTGAGGATCCAGGTTGTTCTCCAGGGAGGGACTGAGCCTCAGAGTGGAGCTGCAGCTCCTTGGGAGGGCAGAAGAGGCAGGAGCAGCTCCCAGGGCAGGATGGAGCTGAGAGATGTGGGATGTGCAGGCACAGAACTGCTCTGAGGTAATGGAATGTCCCAGCAACATCATTCCCAGGGCTGGGTGTTCTTTACTGGGAGAAGACATGGCCTGGGGCCATGGGGAGGGATGAGATCATGGAATGATGGAACAAGCAAGGTTGGAGGAGACCTCTAAGATCATCAACCCTGAACCTGTTACTGCTGCGACCCCCAAACCCTAACCAGATCCTCCAGGGCCACATCAGACACCTCTGAGACACCTCCAGGGCTAGTGGCTCCACCACCTCCCTGTGGAATCTCCCTGAGATGTGACAATACTGCTGTGATCACCTTCAGTTTAGGAAGATCTTGGTCTCCACGTGGAGCTTGGTGGAGATCACAGCTCAGCAGCTCTGCTGAGGGGTTGCAGACTTCTCAGAAGGTGTCAAAACACGATGTGGAGTATTTAGGTAGCACCAGAAGAGGATCAAGGAGGTCTCAGTCCATCCCAGCCCAAGGTCTGAGGGTCCTTGAAGATGCCACAAGGAGGGAATGAGCTCTCCCTGCTCTGCAACAACAACAACACTAATGAAGATGAAGTTCTTCCCAAACTTTGACTGCTTCAGTGTCTCACAAAACAATTAACTGGGGAAAGCAGGTCACACCTACACTTCAAAGCCACCCCATGGTTAGAGCTCTGTGGCCTCCAGGTACTGCTGGGAACAGGCTCAAAGCTCTGCAACACCCAACATGGGGCAACACAACTGGGAAAGCTCCGAGGAGCTCATCCCAGTTCATCCCTCAGGGGGTGAGATTCAGGGACACTCAGCTCCTTCTCAGGAGGTCTCAGAGGGGTTTGTGTTCCCCCCAGAGCACAGAGGAGCTGAGAGTTGAGTGCTCTCCCATGGAGGAACCTCAGAGTGACCAACAGCACTTGATTAACGTGGGATGAAATAGTAAATTAAGGCTGAAATGAGCTGGGTTTGAATTCAGCAGCTCAAGTCAAAGCCAAAGGCTTTAATTTAAGCAATTACCTTTAATTACAGCCCGGGCTTTACTGATAATTAAGCTGAGATTAAGGTGGCACAGGAGAACCAACGCGAAGGAGTCCTTGGTGTGCAAAGTTCTGGGTTTCTGCAAGCAAAAGCTCCTCAGAGTCACCTCCAGCAGGCTCAGCCCTGGCTGAGAAGGATCAGCCAGCAGCAGCTGAAGGATTCTGAGGGGGATTCTGGAAAAGAGCTAAGGAAAAGGTGTTGGAGATATTTCCTGCTCATTAAAACACAGAAAAATCACCCAGGGAGGTTGGAAGGGACCACAATGTTCATCTGGGCCAACCTCCCTCCTCAACTGCTCAGCGTTTCATCCAGGTGGGCCTGGAACGCTCCAGTGAGGGACAACCCATGAGCACAACTTCAGCTCCTCCAACCCAAGGCCTGGAGGTGCCTTTATTGCCCTGAGAGTGTCTGAACTCACTTCCTCATCTCAAAGGAGAGTGATTAGCTTGATATCCATACCAGGAACAGACTGAGCCAACTCCACACCCAAGTTTACAGCAGGCTGGAAAGTTTCTCCTGTCTCTTGGTCTGGGCCTTGGTCTTGTCCCCACAGCTCAGTGTGGGACTTGTACTCAGTGCTCAGTGTGATTGTCCCCACAGCTCAGTGTGGGACTCATCCCCTATGCTCGCCCTGGCACTTGTCCCCACAGCTCAGTGTGATTGTTCAAGCAGAGCCATCCTAGAGTGAATAGCTCAGTGTTTCATCCAGGTGGGCCTGGAACACTCCAGTGAGGGACAACCCATGAGCACAACTTCAGCTCCTCCAACCCAAGGCCTGGAGGTGCCTTTATTGCCCTGAGAGTGTCTGAACTCACTTCCTCATCTCAAAGGAGAGTGATTAGCTTGATATCCATACCAGGAACAGACTGAGCCAACTCCACACCCAAGTTTACAGCAGGCTGGAAAGTTTCTCCTGTCTCTTGGTCTGGGCCTTGGTCTTGTCCCCACAGCTCAGTGTGGGACTTGTACTCAGTGCTCAGTGTGATTGTCCCCACAGCTCAGTGTGGGACTTGTACTCACAGCTCAGTGTGATTGTCCCCACAGCTCAGTATGGGACTCATCCCCTCTGCTCACTCTGGGACTTTTCCCCACAGCTCAGTGTGATTGTCCCCACTGCTCAGTGTGGGACTCATCCCCTCTGCTCACCCTGGGACTTGTCCCCACAGCTCAGTGTGGGACTTGCACTGCCTTTCCCCCAAGGACCAGACCCTCCGTGCTGAGCAGGAGGGACAGGCAGAGCCCCTGGAGATGCCTTTCCACCCTCCCAGCACAAGGTGAGTAGCCCAAGTGGGTGAGTCAGCCAGGCTGAAACCCACCCAGCTCCTAACAGCTTGATGTGTCAGTACTTTCCCATCTCCCTCGGGCTCCTTTGGCATGTGAAACTTGCCTTTTTTTGGCCGAGGAGCCCACGGTTAATAACAGAGCGCGGAGGGAGCGATGAATGTGTCTCCACTCCAGGCTGGGCCAGGGCTGGAGGTGATGTGGCTCTCACTCATCCGGAAGGAATCCGAGAGGTAATTATGAAGGCAGGACTGGGAGCACTGGGAGCTGTAGCTACAGGTTTGGGGGATGGGGTGATGCGGAGGGGTCCCCACCCTGCTCTGTTGGGGAAACACAAAGTTTCCAGGGAACTCCTGCGGGAGTGTCTCCTGCAGCCCCAGGCACTGGTGCACTGAGCTCCTTCCTCCCCCACCAAGGGACAGTGCTGGAGCTCTCCCCCAGCTCCACAGCTTCTCCCCCTGCTCCAGCCCCAGGAGCTGTGGTTGGGTAGGTCCTGCTGGGTCAGAGCCCATCTGACCTGGCAGAGGCTCTTTGAGAGGCTGAGAAGGATCCAAAGGGTTTTCCTTTC